CAAAGATGCTAATCATAGAAAGGGAGGGAGTCATTTGCTCTGTAACATGTCCTTATATAGGTCATACACTCCAAAAATGAGACTCTTAGCAACTGAAATCTGATGATGATTTGTCACCAAGTTCAATACCTATTTGGAAAGCATACAATTACATGTAATTAGCTAAGGTAAGTTATGGAGAGAACCATGCAAATATATGAAAAAACTTCTCAATGTGCTAGGATGCAATCAAGAAAACAACAACAACAACAACAAACCATCTCTCACACACATTCACAGAGAAATACTCTGTGCCACTTCTGAAGAAGGTTCCTTAGCTAAGGACGGAGCTCCTCAATTCTTAGGACTTCCCAGCCCTCTGTCACCTCCTCTCCAAACAAGCCCACCTTCCCCTGCCTGTGCCATCCCACAATATTCTACCCCCTTCCTCCTGACTTCTTAGCGCCAAGTCCTGAAGGTCCTTCTTTGTATGGCACAGGTACTCTTTTCCTTCCGTCCTTTGGTTCTGCTCAGTTCCTTTGGCATCAGGTATTACCTGTCCTCTATTAGGAGTGAATCCATTCTCTACAACACAGTTCAAGCAGGTAACACTGCTGGGTCTTTCCTGGAGCTTTCTACCTCTCCACTTCATGAGGGGAAGGGGCAGTGACTTCTCTAAGGGGTGATTGGAGGAAGCACGAATGAGGTACCCCAGGCTCAGCAACCCCCTTCTTCCTCTAGGGAGTGGGGCTGCCCTCTGGGTAGATGTGGTTTCCTCTGATCTTCATGCCAGAGTGTGAGGAGCTCCTTTGGGCCCACAGAGAGGCCTGTTGGGGCTCGGGATCAACAGATAAACCCTGCACTCCAACCTGACCTTTACTAGTAATAAAGGTGATAAGTCTTAGATGCCAATGATTTTATCTTATCTCTTAATTTTTTTTTTTCCCAGAACTTGGGAGGGTCTGACAGGTGTCACTATTGTGGTTTTTACCGAAGGCTCCAGCATCATTCATATATGTAAGTATACATACTGATTAGATAGCTTAAAAAATTGATGTGAGATTGTGTCCCATATCGCTACCTGGACATAATTTTGGGTCGTGTCTCATAAGTCTCTGGCTTCACCACAATGCCCAATGTACAGTAAAAATATGCTCAGATGGGTTCAATCATGAATACATCATCCAATTAAGGATACAGAGAAGATTAAAAACAAAACCTAGGACTACAATACTTGTGAGTCCAGCTAATGCTTAGGACTTTATTAATGCATTTTTGGTATCACTTAGCAGTGTTAAGCATAAAGTTAATATAAGCACGGTGAATATAAAATTAATATATGCTAAATACTGTGATCCTACAGAGTAAATTTAACTGCACACAGAGCAAGAAGAAAGAATAAAAGATAAGGTGTATACTGATTTTCTTCATCAAAACCCATAAGATCTCTTCAACAAAACCCTGTCATTGAATTTACAGCACATCTAAGAGTAAATTTTATGTGATATATATCCAAATCTAATTTCTAAAACAGTAATGGTAATCCATCATAAGCCAAATTTTCATTGACCTACACCTTACACCTTCATGCTATACATTACATTACCTCACTCTTACGTAAAAAGCCTCACATATACACAAAAAGCTACCAATGTGCCATGTTTTTTGGGAAATAATGATTTGGTTGTCTAAGGGTATGTTTTTGAGTGTCCCTCCATGAAAAAACAAAAGCAAATTAAATACATAAGTGATTACAATTATGTCAAAATAAACACAGTATTTCAATAAAACTTTAGAGGTCAATTAATGTGATAAATTACTAATTTCTCTTCAATTTTATTTTTGGCACACGATCTGGTTTGTTTTTTTTTTTTTTACTGAAATATGCTTTTATGGAATGCTAACCGGATGCTAGAACTAACAAACATACGGTACTAAGAAGCAGTCTTGAAACACAATAATGCTGATAATGACTACTTACAGAAAACGCTGTCCAGTTTTCAAAGACATGTCACACATTTTTCCTTTGACTCTCACAGTATCCCCTCAAAACAACAGAGTAAATATCATCATACCCGCTTTACAAACGGGGAAACTGAGGTTCAGAGAGGTTTGGTGATATTCCTAAGGACTGGCAGGGTTGGTACTCCATTTCAGATTGCTGACCCCCATTTGGAGATTCAATAGTTATTGAGCACCTATTGTGTAATAAACCCCACGTTAATGCTGGGTTAGAGATGGTCCCTGTCCTCTCCCCCTGGTCATCCTAATTGACACGGGACCAGTCATCAACATGCATATGGCACGTTCAATGTACTATTTTAATTTTATATATGGATAAAAACAAAAATAAGTTTGCAAATATTTTTCCTGTAAGAGCAAAGCTAGGGAAGACTGCTTTAAAATTAATATAACTTAATCATTTACTTTAGAAAATTAAAAACATGTTTCATTGTTACTCCTCAATGCTCAAATTCAAATGATAGTGTTTCAATTAAAATTGAGACTGCAAATTAAAAATATCCTTTGGCATTTTTCAATGAAGCATTTAATCTTCTATCAAATGGATGAGAATTTAATCACATAAATTAGTCTACCTCATTCATGTACCAAAATGTCAAAACGTATCTAATGATACAAACTTAGATTTACACAGTCACAGTGATGAGAATGTCGCTGGAGAAGACCCTTTCTGAAGCTCAGGTCTGGGACTTTACATATCTAAAATCAAAGACAGGCGCCAGCACCATGCTGTAGCTCTTGAGCCACAATTTCAATGGGAGGTTGCCTCTTCATGAGGGCAGTTGTCATAAAATGTCAAAATATGAGAAAGAAGACCCATGGTTCATCCTGAAAGGAAAAGGAATAGCACCCCTGTTGCTTTTTATCTATCTTTGCCCATAAATTAATCAATGAGTCGTAAATCCATTTGGATTTCAGGCAGGTTTCCCTCCAGGTAGGAATAAAGACAATCATGATGTAGAGAAACCCAATGAAGCAATGGAAAAAGAAAAGTAGGTGACTGAGTCAATCAGCCAGTGAGGTGACCCCACAATCATAGCCTCAATCTTGCTGAGAAGCTGGCAGAACACAGTAGAACATGTGTTCATTACAAAGGAAACACAAACCCCCACCTCGCCCCTCCAGGGGTTATCAATCTTCTGGAATTGAACAAGTAGAGAGGGGCGCCAAAGTGTGTTTTATGGGTCCATCCCCTTCTACCACCTTCTTCCTCTAGAGGATTGTAACTCTATATTTGCCTTATACCTTTCTTGTCTTGAGACAAAGTCCATCTATGTTTTAAAAAAACTATTAATAAATGCAGCATTCTATCTTAGGTAGTGCATATTTCCCTGTCCATCTGTAAACTGTCTCTGATAATGTCTGAATGCTGGGGTAGATCACTGTGATGCCAACATTATTACAAGCCCACGTTAAGTA